TATACAGTAAAAATCTAAATAGAAGTGTCGTTTACTAAAATGCACAAATGAGCTGTATTTTCTCTGGTTCAACTATCTCTGTTTCTCTTCTAGCTCTATGAGATAGACAGAATTCGAATGCTTTATCAGCAAATGCGTCATCTGGAGCTCACGTATGGCACTGATGCATCCAAATACCAGAATACCCTCGGTCTTCAACTAAAATCGACGCCTCCACCCACAACCCAGCCTCCACTCCCTACTTTACCACCTGTCTCCAAGATGGAAGTTATGTACCTGTGTAATTCAAAAGACCCCCAATGCAAGCCACATATTGTGTACCTGCCCACTGGTGGTATACCTGTACTTTGCGATCCACGTTACCACCCAAACTGTAAACTCAGCCCTGTCCAGCAGTCGCCCTCTCCCCCTGTAGCTGCCTCAGAGCCAGTGACATCTGCCCCTCCACCACCACCCCCTCCTCCTCCAGTGATTATAAAAGGAATGGATTACGACTGTGATCCTTACTGGGATCCTGACTGCCTAATCGACAACCCTCCCAGGCCGGTTAAGATGATCGAACCATCACCAGCGCCTCCAGCTGAGAAGGTGAAAAAGGAAACGGGGAACAAAGTAATCCTAAATGCTCTGGTTCCAACCTATGATCCATATGACTTCAATCAAGATCTATATGATCCCTTCCGCCATGCAGCTCCAGCTCCCTGATTCAAATCAAGTCAAATCAGTCCAAAAATATTCATCTTAATAATTTACCCCTACATTCACGTTTTCTTATCTATTTGATGTAAAATGTATAAGATAAAGTACACATTATACATTAAACCATGGCCTTATTTATAATATGTAGCTAGATATGTATTCTTTAAACAAATGTTGAGGCCAGAATAAAGGATATGGACACATAAAAAGTACTTTGGTTTGTTTATCTGATTCATCTTCTTGTTTCATATGTATTTCAGCCCAGATGAAAGTATGTGGGCACACTGACACCATCAGGTCATAGAAAGAAAACGGTTTCAGAAAAGCTAATTATTTCGTCCGTTAATATATATGTATAACCTAATACCAGGTCCATGTATATGGCATTTTCTCACTAGCTTCATAGGGTAGCGTGGCCGAGCGGTCTAAGGCGCTGGATTTAGGCTCCAGTCTCTCTGGAGGCGTGGGTTCGAATCCCACCGCTGCCATAAATATTTTCAAACTGTTCTTAAATTAGGAAACCCTAATTTTTTTTTTCCGGATGTATCAATCAGCACAGACCTTCAACTTTGCTGCTATCTTTAGATTTGTCTTCAGACATATAACTTCCAATTTGTCACTTGCAACTGCTCATCCCTTTCACAAAAAAGCATTATTGAGCTCTCTTTCTATTTTCTTATCATTGAAATTTATACAAGAAACAAGATTTGCGAATTTCAAAAGGCACCGCTGGGATTCGAACCCAGGATCTCCTGTTTACTAGACAGGCGCTTTGACCAACTAAGCCACGGCGCCGGCGAGCATTTTCTTAATAGAATTTTTTTTGAATACACACAATGTTCAGCGGGTTTAAATTTGTCATTTCATCAATGACAAACGCAACAAAGTTATCAGAAGACCATGAGCATTTTTGTGACATTTTCCATCCTTTGTACATTTTGTGGCGGTAGGACAAAAACCTTGAACGGAACAGATGGAAGACATCTTCACCCACTGCACTTCCACTGTTACCTGATAATGTTTACATGTAGCGTGACAACTTCCTGAAACGACGAGGATGGGATTCGAGCCCACGCGTGCAGAGCACAATGATTAGCAAGCCTGCGCCGCACGAAACACTCGACACATACTTTAATTTTATATAAGCTAAAAAAAACTAACATCAATAATGAAACATCTTTACACCGTTCACAACCATACTGTAAACTAATACTGGACCCGTTCAGTCGTTTTACCTCATCAGTAGATTAACTTCAGAAGATACACAACTGACAGCCCAACACAAGATTTCTATAATTACACCACATCACAATGAGAGATTCAGACAAGATTCGTTAGGATGTTGCATGTCCTAAACGAATACGGAGCATAATCACGTATTCATCAAATCCAATCATCATGCTCTGATACCTTATTTCTAAGGTAACAGGTAAGGATATACCTCACTGACGCAACCATGACACGGTCTCGGAAAGATTTTGTAAACCACGCATGTATTCTCAATCACGGTTGTGATTCTAACTCATCAGAATTTAAAGTACAAATGACTAGTACATTTGTACTAATGACTAGTGCGAGAGAAGCGTTTTAAAGTTTTTTTTTAAAAAGGTAAACTATATATTTAAATTCAGTTTCTTTTATATCTCATATAAACGTGCTGGTGCTTCCTGCGATCCCATTGGTGGATTTTCGAAAGCGATGGCCTTTTCGCTATTTATTCGCATTTAGTTTCGTTTAACCATAAAATTAACATATACGTACATCTAATTTCGGGTTTTTATCAAAAGTATTTTCTAAAAAAATAATTAAACCGTTTGTTTATTTTAAAAAGGCCGGCTGATATGAGTCAGGAGGAGGGGCCATTGAAGCGGCACTCAGGCGGAAGCTGAGTGAATCTCTCTTACTCGCAAAAAAAGTGTAAATGACACATATTCATATCGAATTGTTGTTAACAATGCACATTTACACAAATGTTAAATTACTGTATTACAAAAGCTCCTATCAAAACAGATCAGTAACAAACGTTTTGAAGTGAGTGTATGAAGCACAGTTCTGTTCCATTACTAACGTCAACATATTTTTGAGGTTTAAACATCGTCACTGAATTCGCATTTTTACTCGTCGCATTAATTTTGCATTATGACAAAGTTTCTCTTGTTGTCAGACAAGAGCGGGTTTGTCACTCTGGTAATAAGAATTATATCATGAACATACAATATGTGATTAATAAAACGTCAGTAGTTTAATAGATAATAAAATAATAAAGCTTTCTTTATAGATGATATATAAACCTAAATTTAAACATAACTGGCCCGAATATAAACGTATATAATAAACGTCTTAAGACATCAGGCTGTAAACTAGAGGCGTGATATTCCACGCGAGTCGTGGGGGTTGGTGAACGGACGGTCATACGCTCGAGACGATGCGATTTGTTACATTTTCGAATTATACGATTCTCTAACCTATTCAACATGTTTCTATGGAACCAGGCCTTGATATTTATTGATATTTGGTTGGACTGAAGCCAAATGGCTGGCACAAAGGGCGCAGGTGTTCCTCTGCAGGAAAGATGGCCTTGTACTCTAGGATTTTCTAGACACGCTCGTTTAACTGGTTTAAATAATCGAGGCTGTAAATAACTTCAATAATATGCCCATATTAACTCCCCTATTGTATAGTTTTTTTTAAGGCATCACTTGGTCTGGAGTGTGATATTTTGATATGACCATACTGTTTTACGGTTCTACCTTTTGCCTTCAATACATAAAAATAGATAAATTAGTAACAGTCAGTAACATCCGGTCCGGTTATTTGACAAAATGTATGTTAATTGTGACGCAACAATGAGAGAGACTCACACACAGGCTTAATGAAGGCCTTGTGTGGGGGTGGGGATGTTGCTCATCTCATTCATATGACCCTGCCTTTACCAGTCCAGTGTAAGGAACAGTCCAGAAACAATTTAACCTCATATTAGTGTAAAATACAGTAAATGTGCGATGCTTTCTCATTCATTTATTTGGAATTTGTCTGAGCATTGGAAAAATAGCCTTGCATAACCAGGCCATAAGAGCACTGGACGAATGTTTGGTGTGTCATTCAAAAATGAATTTTGATGAAATTATACATATTTAGCTTTAAATGAGAAATTTAGCATTGGCGCAGCCATTAGTCTAAGTACTAAGATTTTAGCTACACCCAAATTTTGTCTTTGGGTAATTTAGCATTGAATCATGTGCTCACAGACTGTTACCTCTCAAAGCCTGTTTCTGCTTCATATGCTTTGATGATAGATAGATATGCAGACAGACAGACAAACAGATAGATAGATAGATAGATAGATAGATAGATTCTAATGTACTTGCATTAACACAGAATACAAAAACATTACTAATATATTTCTGTTTGTTTATAGTTTAATTGATTAAAGGTCAAATTATAGGCAAAGCATTATGAATAGTTTTAATGTATTTTAGACATGAAAATAAAAACTTTGAGTTGCAAGAATGTTACTATTATGTTCTGGTTGTAAGAACCATTAAACTGATACGCATCAGTCAAAGTGAAGTGCTATTACATCTTTTCATGTCAGTGAAGGTGAGAGGAGCCAAGACTAATGTCTAAATATAGATTATTGTAAATGTGAAGGAGCGGAAGCAATTGAGAATGAGAAAAAAAGCTGGTAAATAAGAATACAAATATGGTGAGCTTTACTCCCGGCTCCTTTACTCCTTTCGTATATGTAAGATCCCAGTAAGAAAAAGACTTAGGGAACTAAACTGGGATTATATCCAGGGATCCTTCAGAGGTGACCTTTATACAGAGTGCTGTCTTCCTCTGGTGGCTGAGATTGGCATTAGCAAGGAGACTTTTTCAGAAATCCCTGTTTAGTTTATGATTTCTGTCAGTTACATTAAAATACATACACCAGTCTTTACAAAAGAAAACAGCGAGTGAAGCGCTACAGTACATTTAACTAAATAATTTCGTTTCTTTTCACACAGCAGCTAGTCTGCATGCGATGGCAGTAGCAATGTGTGATTTTATGTAATCTTGCTGGTATGATGATTACGACAAATCAAGTAGGTATTTATTGAAACTAATTTAGTAATGAATTTGAATTGTAATTAAAATTTGAAAACAAATACTGTTCTATTAAGAAATGCAAGCAAAACCATTATTTTTAGTAATTTAGGACAATACTAATAAATGTTCCTCATATTCCTAATATATATATTCTCTAAGTCATTGTACTAATAATACACCCCAGTAATACTGAAGTATTGACGAAAGCCTGTATGTTGGTTTGCAGGTCTGCCCCAGCTGGTGCCCCTGCCTCAGAAGGAGGTCCCCCTAACCTCACCAGCAACCGTCGCTTACAGCAGACACAGGCTCAGGTGGATGAGGTGAGTGAACCCCATCTCTTTGGCTTCTTTCATCTACAAGTGCATTTTCAGAACACATTCATATATATAAGGGATGACACAGTTTACTAAGAGTCACCTTCATCGTTTCCCAGGTGGTGGACATTATGCGTGTGAACGTAGACAAGGTTCTGGAGAGGGACCAGAAGCTGTCAGAGCTGGATGATCGGGCTGATGCCCTGCAAGCTGGAGCCTCACAATTTGAGACCAGTGCTGCCAAGCTCAAGAATAAATACTGGTGGAAGAATGCCAAGGTAAACATCACAAAAAGTGCCTCGAGTAAGGCTGAAAAAGGCTATGTATTTTCAGAACAACACATCTAAATCAAGCAAACAGCTAACAAGAAACCTCAAATCAGTACACCTCTTTGAAATTAAAGTCCTTTATCATTCTAACATATTTAGCTGTCAGTAAAGTATGTTGTGTTATTTCTATTCACAGCTTAAAATTATATATATAAAAAAAATCATATAAAAAACAGTACCTCAAAACAAAAAGTAGTTCATAAAAACACATTTTTTAATCTAATGTTTGAATGTTGGGTCTTTATAGTCTACTCTTTACTGCTTTTCAACCTATTCTCCTTCTTTTTACCTCTTTTCTTTAGATGATGATTATCCTGGGGGTGATATGCGTGATTGTCCTCATTATAATCATTGGTAAGTAATGACAATATTCTTAGTGATTTTCAAAGGAATATTCTGGGTCGAATACAACTGGGAAAATCATGTTTGAATCTCAAACGCAGAAATTTGTAGTTTGTTTGAGAAAAAAAAGTAATTCCATAGATTTCTATTTTAAAGGGGTAATTTACCAATGGCAAGATAAAACTTGGCTGTCTATGCAGTAGAAAGGCATTTTTTAAAATCAGTGCTACATGAGTAGTGAAAACATAGAAAGAGGGCTGTGGCGTTACTTTGTGCCAAAAAGGTAGGGATCTTCAACACCCATACTGCACTGGGCTCAATCTGACTGTAGGTAGGGATATAAAAATGCATAAATACAATTTGTAGTTTTAACAAAAACCCTGGAGATGTCAAAAGATTTAGCATTTTGTGCCATCCAGCGGTCTTTGGCTGACCAGTAAAGATCTGAGTGCAGGTAGCATGAAGAAAGAGTACACATTGTTTATTTGCACATACCTCTGACATTGTGAAAATAGAAAGCTGGTTGAAAATCAGCGAACTTGTCCTTTAAGCACTCTTTACAGTCAACTTGGTATTTGTGTTTGATTTCACAAACTGAGGTACAAAATTCTGAGCGCAAATTGTATGTTGTATACAGAATATCCCTTTAAAACTAAAACCGCCTTTCCACTATCTCTGACATTCTCATACGATTGTCACATTTTGCCTCCCTAGTGGCAGTCACATGGAACTTCTTATTCACCATTATAAAATGAATAAATAATGAGTGTATATATATACACATGTGTATATATTAGTGCTCTCAAATGATTAATCGCGATTAATCGCATCCAAAATAAAAGTTTTTGTAATATTATGTATATATAAATACACACATACAGTAAATATTTTGAAAATATTTACATGTATTTACATGCATATATTTATATTTTTATATTATATAAAAATATATTTAACATATAAACATAACATATTTTTCATGAATATATACATGCATGTGTTTGTATTTATATATACATAATAAATATACACAGTATACAAACAAATATTATGTAAACAAAAACTTTTATTTTGGATGCGATTAATCGTTTGACAGCACTAGCATATATATATATATGTATAATATATCCACACAAAACAAAGGACAGCAAATATTTTTGAAAGCAAAGTAGGGTTTCTGGGGCTAATCAATGTAAATAAACAAGTATAAGTTAATTTCTGACTTAATTATTTATAACTGCCCATTTTACAGGTTTTAGTGGAAAATATTGGTAAATTTCACTCTCTTCTTCACTAATCTGATGATCTGGCTGTTGCATATGGTGAACTGCAAAACGTCAAATATTTCAGTGCTTCCAAAGTTGAAATCACATCCGAAAATTCAGCATACGCATAGGATCAAACTCCACTCCACTACTCTCCATTAGAAATTAATGACTTCCGGTCTGTCTTTTGTCTTGGATAGTGAAAAGGTGGCTTAAGTACAAAATACTTAGAGTGACTCACTATATAATTATATTTCTTATTACATACTCTTTCTCAAGTGTTGACGATAAATCTGATCTGCTTCTCTTCACAGTGTACTTCAGCACCTAAAGCACGATGTTCCTACCCCACTCTGAGCTCATGAACGACCAATTCTAAGCCACAGAAAAATCTCTCCCAAAAAAGATGAGAAAAACGACTTCTCACAACAATCAATTGATTTGCCCCTTCCTGAGCCCCTTTGCCCCCTGCCTCCACTGCCTCACAGCTGGACCCCTGTCACTCCTCGTTCGTCCTGTCCGTGAGTGTGTGGCCATGTCTCCTCTGTAAATACCTCCGGCTTTTCTGAAATACTGTTCATACTCCAAACTCCTGATTACTTGTGACAACGACAACCGATAAAAAAAGAAATCACAGCCCTTAGAATACGATACGATTATACAGTATATATTCCAAATGTTCTTTGTAGAGTTTTATTCTGATATAATGGTTTTTGTAGTTTGTGTGTGAGTGTGCATTTGTATATTTTTTTAAGTTTTGTAAAACTTATTTTGCTTCAGGTTTAAACTACTGCCTCTCAATCTGGGTGTTTGTATCTTGCACGCTCTGTTTCACTCTTTCTTGCTCACTGAGTATTGGTGCATTTTTGCACAAGTGATAGTCTCCCTTAACTGAGGTACTGAATCAATATCCCCAGTTTGTTCTTTGTCACATGCACTCTATCTCAGACCTACACATTTACCCCTCAACCCTCTTTCTTTCTTTCTTTCTTTCTCACCAATAGTACTTACTCTCTTAGTGAACTGCCACAACAGACCAATGACTGTAGATGTTTATCTTAATTTAATGTCTTTAGTGTCTTATCTCTTAAACATTCCTTAATAGCGGTGTACAATTATGCTGTCTATCAAACAAAGCAAGCGTATTTATCTGAAAGAATTCCAAAATAGGTCTTAAACAACCTCGAGTACTTGTAACGCAGTCAAACTAGGTTTTGACAGGGATGCCGAAGTTATTAATCGCACATGGGTCAATTGCGCAGTACATGGAAAGATTTGAAAGTGTTAGTGCTATCTCGAATGGCAAATCAGGACCAAAATTCCCCGATTCATTCTGCTGGTAAAGATTTTGAAGCCCAGAGAGATTCAAGGCCAGAGACTGACCGGAAATTGGGAATAGTATCATGCACAAAAAGCTTGTTTTCGATGGCGCCTTTTAACTGGTTAGACTGCAGGTGCGAATGGGAGAGAACCGCACGCTGTGTTACTCCCTCGCAGCAGAAATACTGCCAAACTGATTCCTCCATCTGAAAGCACACAGGTTGATCTTAATACTTCAACAGCTGCGGTTCTCTCTCTTAAATCTAGATACTGCCTTTAATTTAGTCTTTCTTTTGATTTTAGGTATAGATTATATTATATTTTTGTGTGTGAAGCAGGCAGGAAAGGGACCACATAGTTCAGGACTTGGCGCTGCTGCCATGTGCACAGCGGGCACCTTTGTGTCCCTCACTATTATCCACTTCTCTGTGCGCCTGTTTGTTAAATTCAGCTGTAGTTTACACACTGCCAAGCACCTGAGGGGACATTTTTTTTCTTTTTATCTTTTGTTTTTTTTTCCACCGTGCCCTTCCTGGTTTGCTCTCGTGCATATATACGTCTCCATCAGCATCACCCTTCAGTCTCATCCGCCCAATCTGCCAACAAGAAGTGAGCCAGGCGTGAAGTGTGCGTCTGCACGTGAACACCACCCCCCTCCCCCCTTCCCCCTTCCCCTTTCCCCTTCACATTTCCAAGTTAGCGCCATTAGCATTTCTTCTTTCACACATGATTTGGTTTCTAGCCGCCCGCCGTAGTGTGTGTGCAGAATATTTCAGCTTCATCCTGACAGATTAGGCTGCTTAGACCTCTGCAGGTAAAGAAAGGCTGTTCCCGTGGCAACCTGCTTGCATAAACAGGGGGGAAAGCATAGATTAGCTGATTGATTGTGACAGGAGGCGGGGATGTTAAGGGGCGGAGCTAGAGATATTATTCCACTGGTGTGTTTTTACATTCCATATTAATCATCCGTATGGAAAAGAATTATGTTTGGAGCAGAATGAACTGTAATCTTTTGCATTTATGGTTTCTGACAAGCAAACTAATTTTCATTTCATTCATTTTTTCTTCTTTAAAAGGAGATAGCCGTAGTTCATTTTTTTTCTATCGCGGCATGCTCATTCACTCATTTGTCCCACTCACGTTGAGCTATTTTAATGATGGGATGTTAAGGGGCGGAGCTAGAGATATTATTCCACTGGTGTGTTTTTACATTCCATATTAATCATCCGTATGGAAAAGAATTATGTTTGGAGCAGAATGAACTGTAATCTTTTGCATTTATGGTTTCTGACAAGCAAACTAATTTTCATTTCATTCATTTTTTCTTCTTTAAAAGGAGATAGGCATGCTCATTCACTCATTTGTCCCACTCACGTTGAGCTATTTTAATGATAAATGACCAAAAACCATATTATATCTTGCTTATACTGCCAACTGCCATCAAAAACAGGTTAAGGGCCAACATTTCCCCTGATCTCTGGTTTTTAAAAGCTCTCATCCAGCGAAAGGAAACAAGAATTAGCCCATTTCTCTGCGTTTTTCAGGTCTGTTTATTTTACTTGAATATTTAGTATTGGTAATCAAGTGGAGGTGATTGCTAACAGCATAAGGAATTTCAAACCACAATCCGACGGACCATGCCTGATATCTATATCAATGATAGCACAACTTCTACTTTAGGTCTGTATCTGTAATGCTGAATATAAAACATGAAACTCTTTCTTAGTAGCTATTTAAAGAAGAAAAAAGACCAACAACAAAAAAAAATCTGTATTGTTTTGTGTTGTAGTGTGGGCTTCATCTGGGGGAAGGGGGTTCTTTTTTTTAGATTTGACATTTAAGACATAAACAATCTGGAATTAGAATAATATAATATTAAAATAGATTAACTATATATTATATTAGGCAAATAAGAGAATTTTCTTCCAGGGGTTGTCAACATTTTAAAGGGGTCTATAATAAACAACATACATTGGGGTAGGACTCAAACATGACAAATGAATCAAAGCGTTTAAAACGCTTCACAAATTAAACGGATTCTAATAGGGGACTACAAATAATGTATGTGCTTTTCTGTTTTTCTTTGTGTGAGTGTATGAATACATTTTCTTTTGTCTTGGCACTAATGTATGTTTTGTTCAAAACTGTGTGGGTTGAGAGGGACGGTGGCAGTAGTTTTGTCACGCCAGCCTGTTAAAGATGCTGCGTCTTCTTTATTGGGAGGGAACCAATGAAGACACAGAACTTTACCAGCTTAAAAGCCACAGTGGTTTCTCCATTACTCACGTCATACAGTTGTTTAGTCTTCAGTTGTTTAAGCAGAAATTAGTTAAGGCTTCACAGTGGTGCTCTGTGGCACAGCTTCATTGTGCTTAGTCAGGAGAGGGTGATTTTTTTTCTATAATTTAAATAATACTGGAAAATGAACCCTGCCTTACTAAAGGTTAGCGTGTCAAGAGTTTGTTTGTTTTTTTCCCAGAAAGCTTGTATAGACTGGGATATCACCTTCAGTTGGTTGCTATTAGTGCAGAGATGTTTTGAATGAAAACGTATGGGATTTTACACGAGTTTGATTCTTTGAAGGTTTTTGGGACTGAATAAAGAGTATAAACAAGTGGAATTTAAGGGGGCTGATCCCATAGAGCTTCATGGAGGTCTAGAAATGCATCGAACCAAGAGGCAAGTTGCTGTATTAATAACAGTTTGTGTTTCATTTGTTTATTTATTTGATTTACGGAGGTTCGTTTTCGTGAGAGAGGTTGAGGATTAGCATCACCCCTGTTTGTCTGGCCTCTTTGGAGGGACTAGGCTGGAGGATTATGGGTAATGTGGTCTTCACAGTTTTATTTTATGTTGTTGTTATTTTATTTTATTTTTTCAATTTATTTGTGTCATAAGTGATAGTGGACTACATATTAAACAGAACGAAGTACATTGTAACAGGGAACCTTTTGGCAACCAGACACACATGAAATCAATTGTAGAGTAAATCTGTCAATGTCTATTATATGGATGAACTTCTTGGGAAAAAAAAATAAAAAATATATATATATATATATATATATAAATATACATATATTGCAAAAAAAATCAGTTATGATGACCTGTGTTTATTGTTCCAAGTTAGAAATTAAAATGTGTGTGTGTGTGTGTGTGTGTGTGTGTTTGAAAACAATGACAACGTAAAAAAAATAAATATATAATAAAAATGGGTCTGTGTTGTTGTTTTTTTAATAACTCTTATATAAAGTATCAAAGATATTATTGTATTATGATTATGTATTTAGGAACATATAAGCTGTGTTTTTTAGTAATCTTCTATTAAACATGGCCAGCTCCAGCATTTGGAGAGGATTTTTACACTATCACAGAATGAAAAGGTAAGACGTTTATAAAATACAAGTAACTATTCACTACTGCGTCACTGTTGCATAAACTATTCATTCTAAGAAAACGTTTCCGAGATGGAACAACAGAAATACCATGGTTATCTGGTCATGTTCTGCGGTGGAAGTACATTGAGTTACATGTATATGCATTCAGAACAGTTTTAATTGCTTCTATAAAACAGTTCAATAAACAATAAGTTAATATCGAGCATTAACTTACCTTAATTTTGTATGCCTAGGCAAATCATAATTATGATATTAAAAGTCAAAGTTATGATATGGGAAAGTAAAAAATATGACAAAATCTAAATTATTTTATAAAATTGTATAATATTTGAAACTGACATAAAGTCATAATTTTGACACAAAAGCTGAAATTATGACCAAAAAAATTTAATAATTACGATAATATACAAATAATACAAATAACACAAAAGTCAAAAAACGTATCTGGTCATGTTCTGCGGTGGAAGTACATTGAGTTACATGTATATGCATTCAGAACAGTTTTAATTGCTTCTATAAAACAGTTCAATAAACAATAAGTTAATATCGAGCATTAACTTACCTTAATTTTGTATGCCTAGGCAAATCATAATTATGATATTAAAAGTCAAAGTTATGATATGGGAAAGTAAAAAATATGACAAAATCTAAATTATTTTATAAAATTGTATAATATTTGAAACTGACATAAAGTCATAATTTTGACACAAAAGCTGAAATTATGACCAAAAAATTTTAATAATTACGATAATATACAAATAATACAAATAACACAAAAGTCAAAAACTTTGAAATTATGAGACAAAGATTATGACAGTCAAAAGCATGTCTTAATACATTTCTATGTCATAATAACCTCATAATCTCAATTTTTATCTCAATTTTAAAACAGTCATCACCTACTGACGCAAATATATAACCTGCAGAATCCCCCCACCCCCCAATAATGCACAGTCAGGAATTTGTACAGACAGCTGTTTATTATCATGAAATACCATCTTCAGGGTGATTAAAAAATACATAAATCGTATCACTCGGCCAGAGTTTATGACTGGCTGACTGTAATATCCCGTGCCATTTTATTACCATATGATACATGATGTCATAGTCAGCCTAAACACTGACCACATGTGAAATTAATAATTGCAAATAATAATTAACTCCTCTAAATAATAGCATCCTGTCACGGTTGCAATGTGTTCAAAGCACTTAACACATGTGTCCAGCTGTGATCAACTTCCACCGCGTCTTTGAGCAGCAATCTTCAACATGAGACAGAGTAAACGCAGGCATGGCCCTCACACGCCCTCATGTGTCAGCTGCAGGTGGACGGACACGCTCAGTACGCTCAGTCCGCTCAGTACGCTCCAACACGAGGAACGAAGCATGCGGCTCCCAACCATAGAGTGCGCTGAAGATGTAACCACCGAAAAGAAGACGCGCAGTTACAAACGGTAGCGTTTCAACTACGCATACGTAATTATTCACAGAATCATAGCCTTATTTATTTGACTTTTATTTAAAAAATGTCAGTGTATTAGTCTTATATAGTATAAGAAAAAAGCCCTTATGCGCCTCTACAGCAGTTAGTACGGTTTGGAAAAGAGCAAATTAGGTCTTGTTGTTCCCTCAAGTCCACACAATTCAGATGGAGGCTTCGCTACAACGTGACAAAGCAGCGCCGAGCATTCGTAGCCCTGCCCACATGTCCAATAGCAGCGCGAGTTTCTCTTTGAGGGGCGGGGTTTATGCTTTGCAGGCGGGGTGATGGCAGGTTAGGAGCCAACGAGAGATGGTTTCGGGAGTTGCTCGTTACACGTGAAATGGTGTCCGTACACGGGTTAACATCAGACAAGACCCGAGTTGCAGTACTGAGCTACATTGCACATGCGTCTATCCGTGTACAAGCTCTGAAAAGAAGCCTAAACTTCACTTCAGAGCAACTGAAATATGTTTATAAGGTAAGAAAAGCTGCTTTTTGTTCTAATAGTTGCATATATATATATATATATATATACACACACAAAATAGGGCAAAAAATGAAAAGCATGCTGTGTGCTATATAATATGTCACGTATAATAAATTTTTTCATTGACCCTCCAGCTTTAAAATGTGTTAAGTACATGGCTCTGAACATCAAATATAATTATTTTAAGGACACTGCATCATATTGACTGTATCAAAACAAGTGAATGTAAATACATCAGAGTGGTTCTTTAATGTCATTATAGGCCAGGATTAAAATGCAACACTCAACATTTATACAATGTGTGACAGAACTCACTATCCTCTGTGTGCATCTTGAAATTTTTCATGTCTCTTCATATCTTCAGGTGTGCAATTGTTGCTTATCCTGTTTTTATTATTATTTCCCACCAGATGGTTTGCAACTTTAAGGACGTTTAAGCAGAAACATCTAGGACAAACAAAGAAAAGTTTCTCGGCCGTACCTATGTTTTAGCACAGCAGATATTTAGGATAACCAAAGAGTTCCCATGCCCTGCTCTGTCAGAAGGTCCCTTACAGATGCACAAGACAGATAATATATACAGTTATTCTGCTTCATTATGAGTAATGACAGCTTTCAAACACCAGTGACCTATGGCGCTCGTAGAGGGAAGGGAACAACATATAAGGATGAAGGGGAAGCCCACAGCAATGCTTCTCCCAGAATGATCAACAGCCAGTCCATTTGTCCCAGGCTGGACATTTCAACAGCACCCCAGCTGACACACTCTGATGACACGGATGCCCACTCCAGCG